GATCTCTTGCATAGATCTGAATTTTTTTGTAGCTTCGGATCTCTCTCTTTGTGCATTAACATGCATAGATCCAAATTTGGCCGTTAACATTTCCATATCTTCTTCGGATGTCTCTCCTCTTCCATCACTTCTATCTTCATCATGATTATCTTCTTGAACCAAAAACGGACCAGTGGTGTTTCCGGTTTGAACTTGTGATGTTTGTGGATCGTTGATGGGTAGAACAAAGATCTTCTTTACTTCCTCTTGCTTGTTCCAATCCCACTTCTTATTTTCTTCAAACTCCACGTCTCTTGATACTTCAATCTTCTCATTCTCCAAGATAAGGACTCTATAGCCTTTGGATTGATTGCTATAGCCAATAAGAATTCCCTTCCTTGCCTTAGCGTCTAGCTTCTTCCTTTTTTGATCTGGAATATGCACGTAGCATATACTTCCAAACATCTTTAAGTGTGACACGTTTGGCTTGTGTCCACACCACTTCTCCATTGGCGTCATGTCATCTTCGATCGCTTTTGATGGTAAACGATTCTGTAGATAAGTAGAAGTATAGACCGCTTCTGCCCATAACTTGAGCGGTAATTCTTGCTCCACAAGCATTGTTCTTGCCATCTCCACCAATGATCTATTCTTGCGTTCTGCTGCACCATTTTGTTGTGGTGAGTAAGGCAAAGTCACTTGCCTATTGATTCCTTCTTCTTCACAAAATTGATTGAATTCTTGTGAAGTGAATTCACCACCTCCATCGGATCTCAACGTCTTGATGGTACAATTTGATTGTTTCTCCACCATCGCTTTGAATTTCTTAAACGTTGAGAACGTTTCAGACTTTTGTTTTAGGAAGTATACCCAACACATGTGAGTATAATCATCCAAAAACAGAACATAGTAACGGCTTCCATCGATCGATTGGTGTTGCATCGGTCCGCATACATCCGTATGCACAATCTCAAGCTTTTCTCTCGTCTTGGTTTGAGATTCTTTTGGAAAGCTCTTGCGTGATTGCTTCCCAAGGTTACATGCCTTACATGCTTCTTGTGTGACTTTAAAACTTGGTAATCCCTTTACCAAGTCCTTGTCTTACATTTGTTGCAAACGCTTGCTGCTTACATGGCCAAGTCTCTTGTGCCATGTTTCTTCCATTTGCGTGTTTGCTGTCATGGCTTCTTCTTCCACCGAACTTAACTTGATCTTGAAGCTCTTGTTCGTCATCTGAATATTCATGATCTCCTTGCCTTTTGCATCTTGGATGATGCATCGTTTGTCTTGAAAACGTACTTGATAGCCGCTTGAGATGATTTGAGGAACACTTAGTAGGTTCTTCTCCAAACCAGGCACTAAGAAAACATTTTTGATGATTCTTTTGCCATTGCTTGTTATGACGGTAATATCTCCCTTACCGGCTGTCATGACTACTTCTCCATTTCCGACTTTGATCGGAACCTTGATACTTTTGTCAATCTTTGAAAAGTATCTTTCTTCTTTTGTCATATGGTTAGTGCATCCACTGTCTACCAACCAAATGTCTTCTCTTGTTGTTGTTATTGCATCTTCACTTGCACTAAACAACATGTGATCTTCATCACCTGAGTCTTCTTCTTCGAGACTTACATGTGCCCTCTCCTTTTTCTTTGAGCGACACTTATTTGCGTAGTGGCCGATCTTACCACAATTGTAACACTTGATGTTACTCTTCTGATTCTTGCCATGATCGTCTTTCTTCGGTTTGTTTCGACACTCTTCTTCTGTGTGACTGTTACTCTTGTGAAAACCACACCACTTCTTGCTTTGATTGACATGGCTGTTGGTGTTGTTTTGTTTAAAACCGGATTCTTTTCCTTTGGTACGAACATAGAATGCTCCCTCTTTTGTGCTTTCTTCTCTTGCAGTAATTCTTGCTTCTTGTGCTTTTAAGATACCAAGAAGTTCTGACATTGTTAGTGCATCCAAATCACGAGTTTGCTCTAAGACACTAACAATGCTATCGAACTTAGCTGGGAGAGAGATGAGTATCTTCTGTATGAGTTGAGAGTTTGTTTTCTTTTCACCATGATACGTTAATTGATTTTCCAAAACAATTAACTTATCGGTGAATGTCTTGATGTCGTCATTGTCATACATCTTCAGGTTTTCGTACTCTCTACGCAGTGATTGAAGTTTAACCAGTCGGACTTGTGGAGAACCTTGGTATTCGTCCTTCAACACATCCCACACCTCTTTTGATGTTGATGCTGCTGCAATTCGTGAGAAGATTTGATCCGTTACGGCAGTTTGCAAAATTTGCAAAGCCATCGTATCATTCGCCGCTGCTTCTTCTCTGAGCGTCTTTGCTCTTGCAGTTTCAGGGGTTTCTTCCTCTTGCACCGGTTCAGCCGGCACGCCTTCGTCAACCACTGACCATAGTTTTCTGGTTCGGAATATGGTTGCCATCTTAATGCTCCAGAAGTCGTACTTCTCCCCATTGAATATAGGGATCACTTGATGTGAGGAGCCTTGCATCGTCTCGGCTTATTGCTAAGACGTATACGATCTCTCTTTGTTGCCTCTCTCTCCTTTTAGTGTTTCTCTCTTGTCCTCTCAATCGTATAGCTCTGATACCATGTTAATGTTTTGAGTTTTGTGTTTACGATAGTGAAAGAAAAAAACAGAGTATGAATGTAATTGACTTTATTGATCTGAAAACTTGATTGTATTACACTCTGTTGTATATGTAAAAAACAAAGACTCGATCTATACTTATATGAAACGAAACATTGTGTTTGTGTAATAATAAAAAGACATGACTCTTTGATCTAAAGACACAACTGTAAAACAAAACAACTTGTGTCTCTTGAACAAATAACTAACTTATGTAAATGTGATATGATACGAGATTTGATTATCCTTCAACAGTTTTCACAATCAAGACGCTGGTTAACCTAACATTAGAGATTGAGCGTGGTCCAGAACAAATATCATGTTATCCACTAGTGTTTCTTCCAGTGCTAAAGAGTCTCTTTCTCCATACAGCTTGGTATACATGCGAAGACTTGTGCTATAAAATACTTCCTTGTTGTCCAACACTTGAGGAATTATCCTTACATCACGTACGTGGTCTTCCAGTTAATTATCCAACACTTAGAAGACAACGTAGAGAAAGTAAAGTATACTCTATATCCCACAAAACCCTCAAGAGACTCACGTCTCACTACAATAACAGTCTTGACAACTGTCGCTACATGCGATTCAACACACCGAGTCTTGTTTACCTCGACTACTCTGGTTTCGCTCCTACTTCCTCTTCAATTGCCAATTTCTTGGATTCCCTTGTCGAAGCCAAACTAGATGTTATCTTGGATTCCAATTTACATCACGATGTTACTTTGCGACAGAAGGATGGAGTTTTAGTGGATCTATCTACGATCATGAATTGGATGCGCAACGTTAAGACTCTTTCCCTGTCTTCTGCTTCTGTTAAGGTCTGTATCTTTGTCTTCTAAACTCTCTTCTTCCTAATCTAATTAGTAATCACGACCAATAGTTTGTTAATTATTGTCTTGGTCTCAGGAGATGTATTCAAGATGTGGAGGATTGCCTTTCTTCTCAAACCTTGTTAAGCTTCATTTTGAGAGTAATACAGAAGAAGGTTGGGAAGTGCTTGGGCGTCTGCTCAACAAATCTCCAAAGCTAGAAACTTTGGTGCTCAAGGTGTCTAAATCTAAACTTAATATATAAGCAGATAACTAATCCACATGCTTGCGCGTCAAGTATTACGTACAATCCTAACTCTGTATATATGTGCCTGCTTCAGGGCTTGCACTGTGTAAGTAGTCAGGGACTCTGCATTGATCGAAATGAAGTGAAGGTGTTGGAGATATATGGGTTTAGTGGACGTGATAGAGAGGTCAGACAAGTGACGTGCTTTTTGAGGGAAATGCAGTTTCTTCAAGTGCTGAAAGTGGAAATTGATGCTCGTGATAACAACAAACTGCGACTCATCAATCACCTTCTTGCTCTGCCCGGACTTTCATCTAAATTACAAATCATGTTCTTGTGAGATAGTTTAATTTCGTTTTCCGTTTAGGTTTTGGAGAAATGGTAACCAAACTACCTCACTTTTGGTTCCGTTTTGGTCTTGGTTCGTATTGGTCTTTATTTGTTCGAATATTAAGTTTATGCTAGATTAAGGGTCGGTTTTATGGTATTAATTATTATAAAACAAAAAAAAAACAATAAATTATGTTTATCCAAATTCGGTTTATGCTTTGTGCTGATAAATGATGCATTCTCGAGTGTGGATTTTAGCACCCACAATAATTGTCGTTAAATAAAGCTTATCAAACGCCATCAGTTTCACTTCGCATATCACTAGCCACTGTCCACATTGGCTATGGCTATTGGCTAACATATAGGCGGGTCTTTAACCCAAAGTTAAAATTCATTTTTAGTCGTTTTAAAAATGAATTTCTATTCATAAAAATAGCTAAAATTTTAAGTGCAAGTTTTCAAAATTTAAATGAGTATAATTTTCATTTGAGTCATCCGTTCAAATACAACAGTTGAGGTCACTATGTTACATTTTTTTTCTTTGTATATGTGAATTCATCTATATTCGGGTTTAATAAAAAACTTCAAGTGAGTTTAGGAAATACTTGTTCTCCCGTTATATCAAAACTCCTTTGCCATGAAGAATCTAACTTTGATACTCAGATACCATCATTTTCAAAGCAGTTCTAGTGTTAGAATTCGTTGTAGTAAAAGCAAGAGATACAAAAGTGAGCATACGTTGCTTCTTAGTTTCAGAGAAATCAAATGGAAACACTGAAGGGTGTAAAGCATGATGGTGTGAATAGGCAATTTCTGTGGTTTGGAAGCTCCATGACTCAGGCTAAAGATCCGCCATAAGCTAGTTATAGCCATTGTGGAAAGTTAGCTAGTGTTTGAATTGCGAAGAGAAGAAAGGTGGAGAAAGTTATTTAATTTCACCTAACAAACCTAACATTGTAATGGGCAGAGAGGAGTTAACTAAATTTGTGGTGAATCCTGCTAAAATGTAATTCATCTTCAGTTCGAAACTATAACATAGAGTAGGCAACAAGGCCAAGTTCACAATATTCAAAGTCTTGAAACACTACTTCAGAGAAAAATGTCTTCTGCTATAAAGTCGTATATGTATTTAGGAAAACCTGCATGGCTGATCAAAGTAAAAGGGTTTTTTACCTTTCTAGCGTCAATTGAAGAGACGTTAACGATCTTTCACTCATCAGGTGGGTATTCTTCATCAGAGGCTTCGTTCTCCAGAAAAGAGCCGAGAGTTTTCCTCAGTATGGTGAAATTTTCGTCATCCTACACCCAGATAATTCACGTTTCAGTCATATAACAGATCAAAGACATATTAATGTAAATAATTTACGGCTTTTATTTACCAGTTTCTTTTTCTTCAGGGACTCTTCCAATTGAGCAAGCTTTTCAGTGCAGAACTTCTCGTGTTCCGTTATCATTGTCTCCTCCTTCTTCCCTGTATGTTTTTTAAAAGTGGAAGTGAGTACATGTTGCCATCTTATAACAGTGGTCTCATTACAAGGGGTTGTTTGGCTTACTTAGCTGCTCATATCGCATGTAAAGACTCTCCTTGTCTTCCTCAAACTTTGAAACAGTGTCTGTAAAGCAGAAACCCATTATCAGCCCTTTCGGTAATATCCTTACTTAGCTAATAGAGGAAATAAACATTTTTGACAACACCAAAAGGGAATAAAAGAATACCTTTCAAACTCTGTAGATGATCAGCTTTGTCCGCAGCTTTATCCTTCAAGATACTCTCACACTGCAAGTATGGATCAGGTCAGCTCCTTGTACATTTCTACAGACTCAATTAAGTTAATCATCATCTCGGGATTTTTGTTCAGACCTCATTTGAAAGTGCTTTGGCGAAATTTTGTCTGCATTTTGTAGTCAAGGACATAATTCATCAGAATCTTCAAACCAACATTCACAAACCATGTAATTGAAGATCAGACATCCATCCTCAGAAACATAGCCTACCTTTCTTTCTCAAGTTTTGACTTCAGCTCGTCAATCTTTGACTTCACCTCAGTGGAGACACTGCCAGAAATATACAAGGATTATAACGAGATTCAACTATCAAACAAACGACACTTAAAAAGCAGGAATGTGCTCACAATCCTTAAATGATTCTATCTTTCTGGAACAATAAATGACAAATCATGCTACTAGATACCAAATTAATGATACAAATCGACCTATTGCTTCAGAGTTGATTATCAAAAGTCTGAACATCTTTCAAATTTAAGGGATAAAAAGAGCAATACCAAAACCAGTTGCACAATAGATAACTGACTGCTTCAGAGCTGAGGAACAAAAGACTCTCTGTATCTATGAAATCAAACGAACTTGATATCTATCATGAAACATTTGCTTTATAGATTAAGCAATTCAAGAGCATACCACAACCACTTTCACAACAGATCAACCAATATCAAAATGCTAGTACAAATGATCGAACACCTAAGCTTCATCTAGCTATACCTACTTGATAAATTTGATTTGCTATACAAGATCCAGACTAATCCATGTAACAAATTGAAGAAACGCTCCATTAAAAGACGTAGAAATGAAACGATCGTAACTAGCATAACATTCTCCAACAACGATTACGATGCATACGATCGATAATTGCATCGCAAATAAAATCTAAGGCTACGCTGATATCAAACTCTGTTTCTAATAAACATTCCATAACCTAATCGGAGAAAATCATGTAACGGAGAGATATATCACCTGGAGATGCTCTCTTCCTTCTGCTTCCGGGCATCTTCGTGCGCTTTCTCTCTGATTTGCTGCAACGCCGACATGATTTCTTTGAGATCGCTTCATGATCAACACGGAAACAAAATCGAGAGTCACAATTCGGTAAAAAAAGAGAAGAAACGAAGAAGAAGATGATGAAGTCAGAAAAGAACCTAAAAACATTGACATCGGAATCGTCCTGGAGCGATTGCGGCGGATCTGGCCGAGTTCTCTTACTGCCTCTTCTGGTAGACGACATTGCAGACGAAACTTAGAGAGTGTGAGAGACGATGAAACGAAATCAATAGCTCTGGCGATTATCTGCTCTCTCTCTCTCTCTCTCTCTCTCGTGTGATTTGAATTTGAAATTTGAAATTCTGTTTCGTTTGTTTAGCTTGTTGCCTTCACAGTAATATATATTGCCCACATTGCTTATTGTGGATGCCGTTGTAGCTGATCACGTACCACTATTTTCTTTTTTGGTTTTTTTTTTTCCTTCTTTTTTTTCAAGTAAATATGGCTAACATAATTATTTTGGAAAAAAACCCAAAAAAACCCTCATCTATTTTTTATTTGGACGTTTAATACCCGTATTTTTTGTTTTGGAATAAAAATACACAAACTAATTAAAGCGTACAAATTAATACACAAAAAATAAATATTGTTATTTTCATACTTACGATTTCAAAACAAAAACAAAATTCCAATTTTACCCTTATCATCTTAATTTTTTATTAATTTTTAATCCAAATAGCTTTTGATTATCTTTTAACCGGATCAAACCAGAATAAAAACCGGTTATCACCACCACCAAAAATTTGGAGACCAAGGCTTGTTTGCCACTGAACCGGAAATGAGAATCACCACTGCCACTTTAGAGTCTCAATACCATCCATACAGTGGATAATACTATTATACCCTTAGTTGGTTATATGTGGTTTAAGTCTGGTTAAGACATCAGCTGGTTTGTTTGAAGAGTGAAGAATAAGACAATTCAAATACTCTTTTTGGTTTAGAGAGTTCTCTTCTTCTTCTTCTTCTCTATTGACCCGAAACTTTCTCTTCTTCCTGTGAAAGCTTAAGCTCTGATTCTCGTTGTTGCTCTTGAGTGTAACAATGATCTTTCATAATGATTTTCTGGATAGAATCTCTCCCTAGACGTAGATCTCTTCACATCGACGAATTGAACTAGGTTTAACAATTTCTTATATCTCTTGTTTTTACTTCGTTTGATTTCTTGTTCGATTGATTGTGAGATTGAGAGATTTGAGCTGCAAAAAGTTGAGATTTTGAACCATACTCGCCATAGAAACGAATCAAAAATCTAACCTTTGTTTTTTTCTTTTATGCATAGAAGCTGTTCGACAGATTGCCCAAGAGAGATATCAATCTGCTAATGCATACAAGGTGTTTGATAAAATGCTTGAGAGAGATCTTGTGGCTTGAAATTTTGTGATTAATGGTGTTGCAGAAAACGGTAAACTAAACGAAGTTTTGGCGCTTTATACTTAAGGGTATAAAGTCTAATGGGTTCACAATCGTTAGCTTGTTGTCTACTTGTGAAAAGTTTGGTGCTTTGATAGTAAGTAAGAGAGTTTATGTATATATTATGATCAAAGTGGGTTTGACACGAACTTACATTCCAACAATATACTTTTGAACTTGTATGTCAGATGTAGAAGAGTCGAAGAAGCCAAAACACTTAAACAATTGAGCTTTTTAGGAATATGGAATTAGGTTCGACTGAGTACAACTAAGACCATAAATGTATATGTATTTCTATACAACAAATATGAAAATGATAAATTAGAGTTAATAAAGATTCCAAAAACATCATGAACTCTAATAAAATAATTTTAAATAAATAAAAATCGAATTAATTATTTTCCTAATATATACTTTTAGTTCAACTAGTTCAACTACATTTATTGTATTATGATTTTTATTAAATTATAATAAATTGTAAATTAAGATTTATATGAAAAATTCTCCAAAAACATCTTCAAATATAAAAATAGACTATTTGAACCAGAATTTATCAATTTCGTAACTATTTTTTTCATTTTCACATAACACACTTCTTCTAATATAAAGAAGATTTAGTAAGTGATCATCTCATATGAAGCAAAAGAGGTGAAATCCAAGTTTTTCTGAACATTGTATTCTGAAAACCTCTTAAACGATAATTAATAGTGTAACATCATGTGTCCAACTAGAAATTACTAATTTTCATTTAAGTCCAACTGGAAATACACAAAAATCGCAAAAGTCCAACTATGAATATGACAGTACAACTTGACAACTAGGTACAACTATGTTTAAAACAAAACAATTTTTTATTAATATCATGCTGTCTTTAGCCCACCTTACCACACGTGTTACCATTCCGCCGCCAAAAATCATGCTTACGTCATCTTTAATTATTATTTTTTTTACTTCGTTTAAATTTATTTAATACCAATTTTAATTAATTTTTTATTTTTTAAAAAGTTATTTTTAATTGTCTCAGTTGTACCTAAATGATCTAGTTGTACTTTTTTATAAGTTGTACCTTTACGTAGTTGTACCTAAATATACCAGTTGTACCTTTACGTAGTTGTACCTAAATATACCAGTTGTACCTTTACGTTGTTGTACCTAAATATATCAGTTGTACCTAAATAAACGATTGCATACAATATGATAAGTATCCATCTGCTTTGTGAGAAATAGATTACATTCGTAGTTGTGTGAAAATAAACAACAAATGAAAAGCTTAATCGAAAACATAAGGCATGGGTTACCATGGACATTGGTGCATTGGATGATTTTAAAACATTTTAAATTGTATACCTTAAATAATTTTAATTTCTATTTACAGTTGTACCTAATAATTACAGTTGTACCAAAATATCACCAAAGTACATAAACAAAAGACCCACTTTACTATACATAAACAAAGATTCGATTTCAATTTCTCCGGCGTATGCTACCAAACCATGACTTGGTTTTAAAAACCCTTGGAGAGAACCAACCTAAGCGTACCAAATACATATGTTCCTTTCAAGAAGCATATCAACCTAACCAAGAGGAATTAAGCTACAAATCCACTTATACCAGAAACTTAACTCATCAAGGAATCACGCAGAAGTAGAATTGGTTCAAAAGCTTTCCACATGATGAAGATATTCAAGCTACAAGTCAGCAGACTTCCCATGAACCCGATGGAGACCAACATCTATTACAACTAGAGAATCCTAAGGCAAACTCAAGCTTTATCCTAGCTATTGAATCAGGTGGATTAAATCTCCGTTTATCCTGCCACCAAACAATATTCACGATCACGAAAAGTACCGAGGCAATCTTAAATTTGCAGTAAGAATGTGTAGACAAACCTCTTATCCATGTATTGATTAAGCTGGTCCTGAAATTCGAGAGGGAATGCTTCCACTGCTACAGATATTTGACGCTGGCTCTCAACGCATCTCTTCCTCAAGTTTCTAACGATTTCGAGTTCAAGCTCTTTGTCGTCTTTGGTAGGCACTTGCTCCGCCTCACCGAGGTACACAGCTCTCGCATTCATCAGCTTTTGCAGTTTCTTCAACAAAGCTTGAAACTTTCTTGGTTTTCTTTTACAAACTTCAAAGATTTCCTCAAAACATGAGGCTCTGATACCACTTGTTACGAATCTATGCTCGATTTCACATTAAACCAAACATGGACTCACGAATCTGCATCAAACAATAAGCATAAAGAAAGAACACACAAGCTGCATCAAACAATAAGGATAAGATTTAGAAGAGAGAGTGAGGCATACCTGATTGAGAGATGAAGAATAGAGAAGTCGAGAAGAGACGAGAGAGAGAAGCGGAGACAGCGAAAGAGAGAGAAGAGGAAGCGGAGGGAGAAGAGGAAGCGGAGAGAGCGAGTGTGGATCTGGAAGAGGAGGAGGAGCGGAGGAGACGAGAAGCAGCGGTGGTTGTGCGGAGAGAAGTAGACATGGTTGTGGTGGAGAAGTTTTTGGGAGAATAATTGGAGACGATTGGAAGTGTTTGGTAGTTGAGATAGTGAATTCTAGGTTGGATTTTGTATTTGTTGATTTCTCAAAAAAGATTTTGGACATTTCCTTAGCTTTTGATTTAAAAAAAAATGTTAAATGAAATTACAAATTCGAAGGTGGCATACTAGAACATTTTTTCTCACAAAGTGGCTTTCTAGCCATTGATTCAAAAATTTGTTGTTGTCGTGTTAAGCAACTCCGATGAGCTTTCTCAGTCCAACAAACCAGTTCTAAATCCCAGCTCCAGAGCTTCCCAACACCATGTTCATCCACTGCACCGACTCTTTCCTTCGCAAATCCTTCTCTAAGAACGAGGAGAAGCTGGTGGGAACATGTGGCCATGATTCTGCTCCTCATTGGCTTCCATCTCCACATGTTTCTCTCTGTCTCTCCACGTCCCTAGCTTATCAAAAGCAACACCAACGAAAAAGAAGAATACAATTAAACCAATCACAGTACGATTAATTGGTGGAATTTGATGGATTATACCCAACTATGTCCTGAGCCTATCCACTAACGAATCTTCCCTAAAATTATAGAAATTGTTTTGTTCATCATGAATTTGAGAGTTTTGCAAAGTTTCCTCGGCTTTGAATTCATTCGGAAACTCATTACACATAAACATGTAATTTGCGATTGAAACAGAGATTTGTTTACCCTCGTTGTATGCTCCTCTAATTCGCGATTGAAAAGGAGATTTGTCTACTCTAATTTTCAGTTTCATTTAGATTTGCAAATTCTCTACGAAATCAAAGTCTGAATTCATTCACAAACGGGATGATTCTCGATAAAAATGGGTGAAGAAGAAGAAGTCGTAATCGGGTGACGAAGTTATAATCTAAAATTCAGGTAAAGTCGAAGCAAAAGCTCAATTTGGTTTTCTCTCTCACCCATCATGTCTCGACGATGGAGTTCATCGGAGTTGCTTAACACGACAACAACAAATTTTGGTGGTGGTGATAATCGGTTTTGATTCCGGTTTGATTCGGTTATAAGAGAACCAAAAATTATTTGGATTAAAAATTAATAAAAAATTAAGATGATAAGGGTAAAATTGGAATTTTGTTTTTGTTTTGAAATCTATGAAAATAACAATATTTATTTTTTTGTGTATTAATTTGTACGCTTTAATTAGTTTGTGTATTTTTATTCCAAAACAAAAAATACGGGTATTAAACGTCCAAATAAAAAATAGATGAAAGTTTTTTTAGGTTTTTTCCCTAATTATTTTTACTAGATATTAATCTGCGGTACACCGCGGATCTATATTTTTGTTAAATAGAAAATTTTATTTTTATTTTAAGACTTTTTAAATATATATATATATATATATATATATATATATATATATATATACTATTGTTTTTTATTTAAATGAATACATATATATATATATATATGTAGTAGAAGCTCCCTTGGCCCATTGGTTGACCAAGGGTTCATTAATGCTTCTACACCCAGAGGTCTGGGGTTTGAATCCCAGATACTACGATTTATTAATAAATTTGCAGATTATTAGAGGCAAGTGTGCATGAGATCTCCAGCGATGTACAATTATAGCCGTTCGCCAGGATTCTACACAGAGAATGAAGTGTCCATCAAAACCATGAAGAATGAGATGAAGGAGGTGAGCATGAAGAACGAGGTGAAGGTGGTCGTGGATCTAATAAGGATTGGAAGGAATTGTCCGTTGTAAAATCGTCTTTGTAACAGTTCTCATAATTTGCAATAAATAATAAATCTAGATGGCAAAAAAAATAAAAAATATATATAGATATGTATATATGTGTGTATATATATATATATATATATATTGTAGGATTAGTATATTTTTTATTCATTTTTGAAAATATAGAGATAGAGAAAATTATTTAGTTCATTACGCACTGTCGCACTGATGTATAGGATTCCCTCCTCTAGATTTTAATCCAAAATCGTAGCCCAACAAAAACTAAACGACGCGTTTGACAATTGTCATGTCCCTTGTTATTTCGATACCGAAATCGACTCCCGATTCCGAGAGAGAGAGAGCTAGCGGAAGCGATGGCTTTGACAGTGGCGTAGAGTGCGTTGGAGGCGATTAGAGAGAAAGGTCTCGGCGGTTTCATGAGGATGATCCGAGAAAAAGGCTTCATGTTAGTTCTTTGTCTCTCTTTTCGATTCTCTCGTCCTCTTTCCTGCTTAATTTCCTTCTCAAATATACCCTCGATTGATACGTTAGATCCCAAAATGTTTTAGGAATTCGCAAGAGTTTTGGGTGTTTGTCGCTGTTTGTTTGTAATGAATGGTTATCATTCTTCGGATTTTTTCACCAAATGTTAAATTTTTATTCACTTTGTGTTTGGTCAACATCAATTTTAAACGGTGATAGTTATTCTTAAAATTGGCATAATGTTTCTTGGTTGCTTATAATTTTAAAATCTTATTGTCTTTATTCCGAGGTAATCTCTAGTATAATCTTTATTATCTATATTAGTAATTTTGATTTTTCACGGATGTTGGATTACGTATAATCTTGATATTGAAATAGACTAATCTATTGATTTTGTAATCCTATTTCGATCTTAGATACTAATTGCTAATGTTCTAGCTTACAAAGTTAACACTTTTTGCCAGACGTATGTGGTATAGTGGTAAGGGAGAACTGGGGATAGGTTGGAAGGAACTAATCCAAGTTCGATCCATCCTGGAAACAATAATCACATATGTGCGGAAAGTTTGGGTTTGGGCCAAACAGTTTACTTGGTAGTCAGTAACAGACGATCTGGCTACCCCTGACATTAGTCGGAAAGCATTCCAAACTCGGGACAGACAGTGTGGTGGCCCTTCGGGGAAAAGTCCACTCTGAAGCACTTCGGTGCGTTTCTACCGAAGCTGAGCGGAACAGCCGATAGAGTTTATCAAAAAAAATAAGTTAACACTTTTCTTTACCGTCTCTCATGTTATTCACTAATCATCGTTTAATTTTGAGGTGTGTTCATCATTGTTTTCAAAATTAAACTTCCCACAATTCTTGAAATAATCATGTTTTTATGATTCAATAATCATCTCTCTTGTAGAAGTTGTAGCTACTTGAAATATTGTAACATATATATTCATGTGTCTTTATTTTACAAAAGTTAAACAATCTAACTGATTTATCAACTAATCATTTCATATCAGATTGTCTATAGAAGATAAAAGGAGTCAAGCTTTATGACATTTGCAATGTCATATACACCAAGTCTCGTTGACCAACACAAAGATAAGAAATTGTTTTCTTAGAACAGGTAACTAACATGTGTTTTACTTCATAGGTGAAGCTTAACTTTTTTATTATGAAAGTGGAAGTAGCTGATCGATTAGTAAAGAGTCGTGTCATCTGTCCTCATAAGCAATAGAGACAAAATTTCATTTCCAAGAGTTGTAGTAATATAGTTTTGAGTGTTGCTTAATGAAATAACTCAAATTTATTGTGTTTTGTTTTTGTCTCTTGACATGTGGTTTGGATATACAAAAATATAGTGTAAATCATTAACTTTACTAATGAATAGAAAAAATAGTGTTAACACATCTCCTAAAGATTAGTTAGGATGGAATTCTAAACTTTGATTTGGTATCGTTTTCAACATTGCCTTGAGAATGACTAACCTACAGGGAGAAAATGGAACATGTTTTACTACGATATGTGCTTGGCTTGTGTAAAACATAACTAAAAAAAGAAAGTAACAATGGTAAAGTAAACGTACTTTTAGAGAATAAGATGTGTTAAATCTTTCTCTTAATTCGTGTGTTTGCTGGGCTTTTTAGATCGTTGCTTTTTTGTGTGATGATGTTATGAGACGTGAAGCATAAGAGTATTTATAGACTCATAAGTTAGGTAAAAAAGGTCCTTGATCGGAAAGCATAAAATATCTATATATACATTTTTGGATCACAATTAGCAAATAAATCCTGAAGTTGAGAAGTATTTACAATGGCATGCCATTAACATTAATTATTTAGATTTGTTTTATTTAAGTAAAGATTTTTAAATGAAATTCATTTATCATATATTTAGCAAAAGTCTCTACAAAATCTTTCCTTATCTATTTAAGTAAAGATTTTGAAATCAAATATGTTTTCAACAATTTACCAAAAATCTCTACACAATCTTTTTAAAAATCTCGACTTAGTTAAGTTCTGATTTTTATCTGCAAAAAAAAAAATTAATAGTAACGAGTGATGTAAAAATCGGGAATGTTGATACTACAATTTCTTCTACTTTTTTTTTCATATAATGAAAATTATTTTTTAGGGATATTTTCTCAAAACCTCTAAATAAAACAAAGGGTTTCAAAAGATAGCTTCTCTTTTGGCGGGTCGACCCGCAAACCCGCAACTCTCTACGGGCTTATCCGCATGAATATGCGACCCGTAGTGGATAAAAATATTATTCAAAAAAAAATAACAAATGATGTTTAATTTTACGGGACGGGGTTTTATGGTGCAACGGGTTTGGATCGATATTAATATTAAACAATATACTATGGATGAATCCTAGAATTATAAATCAAAATTTAATTATAAAATCAGAAACACTAAACAAAATAAAAAATATTAACAAAACAAATACAACTTAAAATTTTGCTAAATAAT